ACACAGGTTAGGATTAGATTGAACTTAACCTGATTATGTTGGGTCGGTAAACAACCCCAAAAGCTTTTACATTTTTTTTTTTTTTAATATGAACCTAGCTCAGCCTCACGAGCCTCGTGGCATTAACAGGAAAGGAAAGAAGAAATGATATTTGTTAGCAACCAGAGTAAATTAATCTCCCATTTCTTCCCAACTTTGAAACATGAAACTCGGTAAAAATACACAAGACAGTGAAGTAGAGGGAGTATACTGACCTTGGGCTGCTAGAGTTGCTTCAATGGCAGCTGGAATCATGAAAGGATGGACACGACAATGCTGCTGGGAAGGAAGGGAAAGGGTGGAAATTGAAAGGTTTGTATTTGTGTAAAGCGAAGGGTGGTGAGGAGAGGTGACAAATTATATGTGTTTGAGTTTCAATTTGGTAGGAATGAGCAAAGGGTGGGACTGGTTTTCTTCTTCTTCTTCTTCTTGTTTTTTTTTCTTGCGGGTTTCATGTCCTTCACTCTCGGTTTTCTCTTAGTTTTCTTCCCTATTTTCACCTTTTTTTCATGGTGCCCTAGGGTTGGTATTTATAGGGGTTTAAGGAAAGTCAGAATTTTGAGCTGGCAAGACCATCATGGTTGATGATCAAGTCTTTATGATGGCTGTTGATTCTTGCCTTGCAAAGCTACTTCTGTAGTTGTAGATTTTAATTTGCTGCTCAATTTATGCTCTTTTCCTGGCATGACAGAGCTTCAGCAAGGTCAAGACAAATAAAAATTGCTTGCAGACCAAGCTTAGCGTTAGAGGTGTGCAGGGGAATATATATATATCTTGTTTGGTAAGGGTATGGGAGAGAAAGAAGGCTTGAAAGGTGGAATCGGAGACAATTTTTAACAACTTGAAATGTAATGAAGATAATGAACAATACTACACAAAAAGTTATTAGAATTTCTTTTTTCTTTTTACTAGATGTTATCAAAATATTGTCATTTAAACTAAAATACACTATTTTGATTAAAATATGATCAAAACACATTATTTTATTTAAATAAAATATTGTTTTTTTGGCACTTCTATACTAAATTATATACTAAATTAGGTTATTAATCCCTCTTTTGATTTCAACCCTTAATTTTTAATTTTTTTTTATGTAAGTCCTCATTTAAATTTTAATTTTAAAAATTAATTCAATTTTCTCTTTCAAAATTTTAGAAAGACCCTATAATTTAACACGTTTTTCAATTGACCTTGAAAATTCTATTTTTTTTTAATTTTACCTTTATTTTCAATAGAATTTGGTCTTTGAATATGAATGTCTTTTGTAAAGAGGTTACTGGTCTTAGATTTTTTCAATATGATATTAAATTGACTTTCAAACTTTGATTTTCTTGTAATTTTAACTTTGATTGCATCTGTTGAGTTTGTAAAAATTAAATATGGTTCTTTACAATTTTAATATTTTAAATTAAGCTCAAATTAGGCTTTTAAATTTAGTTTTTTACCAATTAAGTCCTTAATAAAATTAATTTAACTTATTGAAAGTCTGATTAAGCCTTTACACTTAACTAATTTTTCTACTTTTGGCCTAAATTAATTTTTAAAATCAATTAGATTTTTAATTGAGCTCATGACTAAATCAAATTAGCCTATTAAAAATCTAATTAAGTATTTAGATTTGATTTTAATGCAAATTCATTTGATATGCACTCAAATTAGCCTTAAATTTGTGTTTTTCTTTACTTTGAGTTCTTCAATGGTGCAATTGAGTTTCTAATTTTGCACTTAAATCCATCTTCAATCTATCTTTGTCAATCAAATTGCTAGTCCTCTTTTATTTATTTTTATTTTTTAAAAAAAGATTTTGAGAGAAACCTAAAATTAAAATGTGATAGTTGATATGAATCTTACAAGGAGTGTGAAGATAAAGACCATGGATAATATCTGGTTAACATATCAACAACTACGTAGTAAATAATTAAACGAGAGTTGGATGATTTCACAAGTCTTGTTTATACTAAAACTATTGAGGTACCGCTACTCGCTTACTTAACCTAAAGTTGATATTAAATGTGATCAAAGTGTGTTGGACTTGATGTGAAGGGATAAATTCATATTTAATATATGCAATAAAAGGAACAAAATACATGAGATGCAGGATCACACACATAAATAAACATCATATCAAACAAACAATAATATAAAATGTACATTATCATCACAAAACAAACCAACAAAACTTAGCCTCAAAATCCCTAGTAGAATCATCATTCTATCTTAGGGGACATTGAGGCGAACTATGTGTAAAAAAAAAAAAAAACTTATCATCTAGTTTTAAGGTGATTAAAAACCCTAACTGATTTTTAGAGGTTTTCAATAAGAGATTAATTATGTAATAAAAAAGATAGCTATCATGTTATACATCTTACTTAATAGAAGTTGCATTAATGTTTGTTTTTAATGAAAAAAAATGTCTAATGTACATTGAAAAAATATTTTTTCAAAATGATTTTATTATCACTTTTAGGTTGACTTCTAGGATAAATCCCACTACGGACAAATCCTACTAAGGACTCATTTATCTTATGTCGATATATGGATAATTGAAAATATATTTTTCAAAGTGATTTTATTATCCTAAGGATAAATCTCATTAAGGGTTTATTTCTCCAATATTAATCCATAGATAACAAAATCACAATAAATATTTATATATTGAAAATATATTTTTTAAAATGATTTTATTATTGTTTTTAGGTCGATTACAAGGATTCATTAAATATTTATTTATCCTATATCGGTCAGTGCATAATAAAATTATGTGTTGACTACATGCATATATATTTCTTTGAAATGGTTTTATTATTATTTTTAGGTTGCATTCTAAGGATAAAACCATTAGGTTTTCTAATCCTATGTCAACTTACAATAATAAACCATATATAAATATTCATGCATCAAAAATCAAAACCCACATAATAAAAGATAAATAACAACAACAAATCAAGATCACCATCACTGTGCAAGTAGTAACTTCACAAAAAAAATCTATAACATTGTCTTATAACACAACAAATCAAGAACAACACTTACAAAAATCCAAAAATATTGTCCATAACTCAAACATTTCACAATCATTTAAAATAACATGAATTAAACTCAATACACATTAAATGTTTTTTCTAAATCCCATAAAATTCCTTACAATAATCATCAAAATCAATCAACATGTAAAGATATTATTCAAAAACCATGTTTAAGGTTTAAAATCAACCTTTGAGAACAACTAAGTCAAGTAAAGTAGTTGTTAAAAGTGGGATGAATTGTGGTAGTGTGTCTAACATGAGTTAGGAGGGCATAATTGCCAGTGGCACATAATGTGCTGACAAGGGATGGAAATGCTTGAGCCGCTCAATACTCTTCTTGGTCCTCCTTCTGGTACAGGCAGTGTCTCCTATTATTACTTGAGAGAGGAGATTGAAGCCCTAAAGTTTTGATCCTCTTTGTTTCTATCTTCTTCCACTAGGTTTTTCTTTTTTCTACTGTTGATGTTTGTTGTTGTCATGGTTAACTTCTATGGCGTCTAGCAACGGTATAGAAAATATGATGTGATGAGGTTGGTGTTTGGCCGATGATGAGGAGGACTTTGGGTTGGTGAGTCTTGGCTAGTCGAGTTTATAGCATTGGCCAAAAGAGTAGGTTTGTCAAAAAAAAAAAAAAAAAGGTTAACAATGAGAGAGGTAGAAAGTTGTGGGTGGTGGTTGATAATGTTGTGGGTGGCCAACAAGAGGGAAGCTCAACAGTGTGATGACGGTTTTTTTTTTTTTTTTTATTTACGTGAGGTGTCCGGGCCAGCTTGCGCGCACCACAACTAATCCTCACGGCCCACTGAATACCCTGCAAACCCAGTAGGCATGTAAGGCACCGCGGGGGTGACAGACGTGCACGTCAGGGCTCGAACCCAGGTGCAGTGGAAGGAAACAAGCCCCTTCCACCGCTAGGCCAAGCACTGGTTTGCCGGTTTTTAGTGTCTTAGGTAGTGTTTTTTGTGTGGGTGGTGAATATCAAAGAGAAAAAATGATCATGTCTCTTTATTTTATGAGAGTGGCAACTAGATTAGAAAGAATAGTCTAGGGTTGTTTTTGGAGTGTAGAAAAGAAAGTCTCTATTATTTATTTATTTATTTCTAGTATGTATTTTTAATTATGAATCCCCTGTTAGCTAAGATTTTAGTATTTATAGACGAAGTGTTTTTGTCCATTCCTTTCACTTGATCCCTAAAATAATTTGGTGTAATTTTAATTTTATTTTTTCCTGTTGCACTTTTGATTTCTCTCTACTTTACTTTTATTTTGTATTTTGATTTAAAAAAAAAACATTACCAATGTCAATTTAATAAAAAAGATTAATAAAAGATTTTGAAATGGACACGTTAAAAATTAAATATATTAAAAGTATATTTTTAAATTTTAGTTTAAAAAAAACATTGAAAATCATGAAAATAAAATCAAAAACATATATTTTTTTATTTTGATTTTAAAACATATTTAAAATCATAAAATGAGCACACAAATAGTTGAAAACATATTTTTTTAAAACTTTTTGTTGTTTCTGTTATTTTGGAAAGACTAGGTTATAACATCCATTATCATTGTGGAATCACCATCATTGATCAAACTAATTAATCAAATATATTTAAAATATATTGAGCAAGTGACATTAGTGTTGTTACCAGCTAGTCTACGTCATCAATTATTTTCTTAAATCTAGATTTTACAAAATCAAGAATAAATGGATATGATTTAAAGCATATTAAGAATGAAAAAAATATATTAATTACCTTATAATTTTGTCCCCACCAAACACAAATTATTAAATTTGAGAAAAAATAAATTCAAAATAAAGATAATAACTTGAAGAGTTGGGAAAATAATAATAATAATTTATGCATAGCTCACATGACACGACTTTGCTTAAATACCCTCTTACCTCTCCTGTCTACTTCTCTCAATCGGAGGCTGCAAAATCTGCAGCTTCTCTTCAGGGAAGCAACTATCCATAACATCGCACGAACATAATCAGAGACAGTGTTAGGACAGAAACATAGGATAAACTAACTGCAGTTCTACTTCACTCCAACAATAGTCATAAGAAATTTAAGCTTGTCATTGACCTCCGCCAGATCGGACGGATCCCTGAATGAGGAGGGTGGTTCCACTCCGGTGAATACATACAGTGCCTTGAGCTCCTCAATACACGTTCCTCGCACAGAAGCTTTGTACCCCACTATTGTGCGTACTGCACGAATTTGTTTCCATATCTTGTCCTCACTGTACGACACCTGCAATCAATGTGGATTTTATACAATTCAGCTGGACAAAATATGGTGTCTCAATTAAAATCAAAAGTGGTGAAATCTCAGAAATAAAACTCCCAGCATACAAAGCTGACCCTTTTCCAGAGCTCTATCATTTCTAACACTCAAAACCAGGACCAGAACACAGACATTGGTGAATATGATCATCAATTTAAACATTTAGAGCCTTCGAGCCCCAACAGGATTACGCAACAAAAACCCAAATGGTTGCATAATAAAGCTTGGGTTGAACTTCCATAAAACCTCATTAGAAAGAAAACTAAGAGAGAAGGAAGAAAACATGTCAGTGGCGTAAATGCAAAATTTTGTAATGGATGTAGTTTTTATCATTTACAAGAACTTTTTAACAAAGTTTAAGCTAAAAACCTAAATTCTCTAACGAAGACAAGAGTAAGAAGAAATTAAAAGTAAATAACTAATCAATTATTAGCTAACAAACCATCTAACTTCCAACAAATTCCTCCGGACAAGAAACGTCATATGCCCCCTCACCATTTATTCACTGGCACCACCAGAATGTGAAGGCTTCACGATGATTATGTCATTAAATACTAGTTCTTATTACTTCTTTTTTGACATGTTTCACTTTGACCCTGATAATTCACATACCAATGGACATGAACCTTTGAGAAACATCTGGTTCAGAGTCCATAGCGGTTAAATCCACTTGAAATGACTGAGTACACTTCGTATCTGTGAACTTTACAAATGGGAGCATTGCAATATACCTCACTACCGAAAATAAAGGTTATTTGCAAGGAAAACTGCAACTACAGTCTAGAGGATGCAAATTTTTTAACCCAGGAGAGATACTTTGTTTATTAGCAGTAGCTTTGCAACTGCACGCACTGTTGCAAATTGTACTTCTTGCTAATTTGTTTGCAAATTGGATAATTTGCAGCCGCATGTGTTGTTGGAAATTTCAATAACCGCTAATGGATAATTTGCACTGACATGTGCTACTGCAAAATCTATTGGTTGTTAATCTGCTGCAAATTTCATAGATTCAAAAATTTATCTTTGCAACTACAGATGTTGTTGCAAATTTCAGAGTTTGCTAAAATAACCCTTCTTTGAAAGTTTTTTCTTTCACCGAAATGACCTGCGTTGACCACCTTATCATTCATTAGAGCTTGTAGCGACTGCTTGTCGTTTTCTTTTAAATCTGAGGCCAAGTAGATTCCGGCGTTGAATAGGGCAGGGGAAGACAATTTAAGGTGAAAGAGAAGTGGGTTTTATGTCAAGGTAATTCTCAACTTTTAGTTATTTTTTGTTGAAATTATTGTTTTAAATCAAGTAAAATATGTAAGAGATTGTCAATATTGTATTTGACATTGTAAGTAATTTAGGTTAATTTGTTTAATTAATGTAAATTCCTAAAGGTATGATTTATGTTAATTTTAAGTTTGTTATTTTGTTGGTTTTATTTGTTATTAATGATTTTTTAAAAATTTTAAAAAATAATATGCAACTAAATTGTAACCTAATTTTGGCTCCATCTCCAACCCCATGAATGGGACTTTCTTTTGTAGTGCCTTCATAGAGCAATTATTAACACCATTCGAGTCTGTACCTTCATACAACACCAAAATGTAATTTTTGTTGCCTTCAGCAACTTGGTCTATGAGGATCAAAGTTAAAAATAGTTTCCAAAGTTGTTTTTTTTGGTTTTTTTTAAGCTCTTTTGGTAAGAAATGAAGCTGAAGTCTAAGAACAGAAAACCTGAAACAGGGCAAGATAGCCTCAACAGCATATCAGTAACACCCTCAGGAATTAGGGGCATGAGTGCATAATGCTCTATGAGATCCGAACAAGACTAACCATCTCTCAACTTAACTCTTCTAATCTATGTAATGAGGCCATCTATAACATAAGATAATCTTCCCATAACTTTAATTGATGAATAAACCCTCCACAAAACCATGCAACCCAAAGTTGTCAATACCATTTTGGGAGTATTTTCATCTAAAACAAGTCACTTCAGCCTTCCATTTTGGAATTAATATTGTAGTATGTAAAATATTTCTTTATATATCCATGACTCAGCTTGTAAATATAGTATTATTAAATTAATACATTTTTAGAAAATATATAACCAAATATATGGAATAGTGTAAAATAGTTGTGAAATTACTTCATAGATCCATGAAAAATACTATGGTTCTAATTCAGCTAAAACCTGATCTTGTAACTAGTGCCAAATCTATCTGTGAGGTAGCTAATGCAATTCCAGCTCAAAATTAAAGTAGGCAGACATCACTGAACATGTAAATGCAATTCCACCTCATAATTACTTAAGCTTGCTTAATTCCAAAAGGGAAAGAAGATTACAGATATGTTAGTCCTTTTGTGTTAGTGGGGGAAACCTAGGCCTTTCCATTCAAAACTTGGTTTGGCATCCAGATTAACAGATTTAAAAAAAAAAAAAGAAGGTAGAGAGCAGTAAAATCACTCGACAATAATGAACAAAACATAGCAGCTTAGTCAACCCTTCGAACAAATCTCATGCATAAAGGAGATTAACGAACAACACATTGTGGCATGCATGGGAGTCTCATATTTGTTTCAGTTGTTTATGGCAATCCATAGCAAGTCATACCTTAACATTACTAGCAGCCAAATGGATGTCATTTTCAGAGGTAATTCCAGTACATTTGGAGTCATCCACCGTTGTTGGAAGAGTAACTTCATAAGCTTTGTAACTTGATTGCTCAGTCCCTGCAGATGAAACAATGGACTAAATTAAAGAACGCTACTTACAGATTAAATTTCTCACAGTGCAGCAACTATTACCACAGTATAAATTAATTTACCTTCAGGAATTCGGTAATCTGCGTAAGAACACTGAGGACCAGCTGCTTGTTTATCATCAAACAAGTCCAAACCACTTTCATCGGCAATTTCTCTTGCATCCTCGTTCGGAGTCGTCACAACTAGTTCCTCCTCTCTAGTCAGTTGAAGGTTTTGTTCAACATAGGCAACATTCCCTTGCGCTCCTCCCTTGGTACTGTCACCAAAATCATCCTTCTCTAACAACCCTCTGACATCTTGAATTGGTTGCTTCTCCATGAGGACATCGGATACCATCTCTATCACCCGTTCCCTATCTTCTTCCTTATCATGATTCTGAGATAACTTTACAGCCAAACTCCTCGCTAATTCATATGGCGCTTCCTCTGTTTTTAGAAGATTACTGCCACTTCCCTCATCTCCTTCATTAATTACGATCATGACTTGGGACGCCCCAACTATTGCTTCCCCGCCTTGTTCTATGACTGGTTTTTCTTCCTCGGCTTGTTGGACTTTTGATGGAGGTTTATGATCTTGATCTTCAACATCTTCCTCATATCCATTTTCATCCATAAGAGTTGCGTTATTTTTATCATCCATTGGATGTTTCTCATCCTTCCAAAATCTTTGGGGCACTTCACAGTCGTTTTCTTTGTCAAAAATCATCTCATCCCTGGTACTGTTGATCACTTCCAGTGATAATTTTGGCTCTCCTTCCTTTCCCATATCAATAATATCTCCTCCAAACTGATCAGCGCACGCGTCGTCTTCTGTATAATCATCGATAATGATATTTTTATTTGTTCCATAATATTCCAGGGAAAGGTGAGAAGATGCTGGAAGAAGTTTAGACATCAGCTGCTCGGTGAGAGCATAGGTTGCCAAGAAAAGCCCGTACGGGACAGAACAAGCAAATCCAATTGCTGAGACAACAACAAATGGAAGAAGAATCACAGGTGCTGAAGATATCACAAAACCTGTGACCAAAATCATCTTTCCCACCGACAATCCTTTGCTCAATACCCAGCTAACATGTCCACACCTATTATTTTCTTCTGATCGTTTCATCGTCTCATCCCACTCCATCTCCGTGTCTGGTTCTTCCATTATACTACCGACGAATTAACAAGAGATGGCAATGGGAACAACTATATATACGTAATTATATAATCGGAACACTACTATTCTTTGGTTGATGGATAAGCACTGACCTGCAGGTGTAGCCGTACGAGGAGGGGTTTGAGCGGCGAACAGACAGAAGCAAGTGCGATTGAGACTACTCTCGCATCGATATGGTTTTAAAAACTTCGTCAGTAAAGGGATTCTCTTCTTTTGCATGCAGGGGAGGTTTTGTTGGACACGCGTTAGAGATCAAATATACAGGTGTTAGATTCAAGTTCAGACCTGGCACCGAGCATGCTCATAATTCACACGTGGAACATAACATGATTTTTATAGGGTTAATTTCCGCGTATCAACGGGATTCTATCCTGACAGATGACGACATTCCCACCGTCTGGCTTTTTACTGTTGTCGTCTTGATTTCAAATTCATATTCTGTAATTATCCCTTGGATTTATAATGCACACCGTTGTTTCACAATTTAGGTCACCCGTTATGGAGAATGCTGTCGTTTTTTTTTTAATAATAAAATATTAATTTTTTTTAATATTAACACATGAAAAAAAAAAAGACTAAAAAAATGTCAATTTAATTTGTTTTGTTAAATCATTCTAATTTCGTTTCCAAACAGTACCTTAATTACCTATGATAAGGTTTAACCAGTTAATTAACCACATAATTTTATTTATCTTTAAATTATACTATAAACTATCTTAATTGGTTAATAAATAATAACAAATTAACAGTATTAGAGTTTATATAGTAAATAACTAGATGTGGATCAATTCATATTTTTCACCTTATAAAATATATTGTTTAGGTATTTCAAATGTATTTTAATTTCATAAAAACCACAAAGTCTACTTCTCAATGAATAATGTTGAATATTAAAATTAAAAAATTATTATACAAAAAGATACAAAATAAAAAATTAATAATTACGAAAATAAGAATCAAAGCTAAAATAAAAAATCAATTTTATTTTTTATTAAATGGTGAAAACCAAAGGAAAAATCAATTTAATAAAAAAAAACTAATTAAAAGAATGAGAATCAAAATTGAAATAAAAAATAAAAATAATTTTTAAATTAAAAGATAAAATTAAAAAAAAATCAATTTAATAAAAGGACTAAGAAAATAAAGCAATCAAAAGAATGAGGATCAAATTATTAAAAAAAAATCATAAATTAGGATTGAAATATAAAATTAAAAACAAATCAAGTTTTTACAAAAACATTCAAGAAAAAAAAATAGAGACTGGATTTGACGACTAAAAAAAAGAAAAGGATAACCCTGAAATATTGTATAGCTAGCGTAATTTTTAAGGGAATGAGAGAGAAAACTGGAAGGAGAAGAAAAAATAGGTTATCGGCATTGCTCTACCATTCCAATGCTACCATGCACCTTCCTAAAAAGAAGAGGACTTTGCAGCACTTCTAATAACATTGTAGATGCTAGTGTTTAGCTATTAGTAATTGCATATGTCAACAACTTTTGATATTTTAATTATATTTATATTTATTAAAATATCAAATTACTTCTCATTCAACTTGATTTTAACAAAAAAAAAAAAGTTGAAAATACAGAAAAGCCCTTGAATGGATGTTTTAAAAATTTATCTTTTAAGAATAATTTAGTCATTTTAATGTGCTTTATAAATATGAAAAGACTTAGTTGTTTCCGATCAATCTTATAATATCTAATGGACCTTGTAAAATGAATACATTGCTTCAATAAATAGTTCAATGAGTTTTTTTGGGAATAAAAAAATTGTTATTACATTATTTTAACAAGAATTCTTTTTGTATGAACAATAATTTTTCAAGGTTAATTAGTTTTTTAATATTATCAAATATATAACAAACCAAACTAAGTTTATATAAATAAATAAATAAATAACCCAACAAACCCGATCGAAACTCATTAAATCCAACAAGCACAAGGACTCGTGCTTTGCCACTAGCATATATATATACAAAATATTGAGGGGCTAATGTTAGTATATATGCTCTATAACCAATTAAAAGGATATGAGGATTCATTTTACTTTAAAACATTGTTCCTAAACATTTATTATCAATCTTCAATTAAGACTGAATATTAATTAGAGTTGTTAAGATTACTGTCGCACGTGTGCGGCGTCGCAGTGATAGTCCACTCTCATTAAAGTATCTGGAAAATATAGGGAGGCAAGGATTTCTTGTCTTTTATTAGTGGAATGAGAGAATGAGATTTGTCACCTAGTATTTTGGTTACTAGGAACTCTTACTGGTCTCAGCGATCGGGCATGGGGACTGGTTACGTAAAAAGAATATATTATCCTCCTAAATACACCTTACCTAAGGTAAGCTATATTATTTAATTATCTTATATATACTAAGGTGTTGTTTGTATTTCTAATTGCTGGTTAATCTATGGTTTAAGAAAAGTTCTCTTTGGTAAGGAGATCCTTATCTTATCGAGTAAAACCTAATCATTCTAACGTCAATAAAAAGTGCTACCTTTTTAATATTGGGAATATGTTTTACATATAAATTTATAATCCTAGATACTAAAAGAAAACAAAATGATTTTTTTAGAATTTTTGAAATATTGGCATGGTTCTCACTACTTTAATAAACTGATTATTAAAGCCAAAATACATGCTAAAACATATATTTTTTAAAAATTTTCTTTTTATGAAAATACTACATATTTGTTTTTTAAGAGACTTGACTGTATGCATGAAAATAAGATTTTTTTAAAAAAAATTGCAACATTTTCATGAAAACTAGGTATTTTAATACCGGATCAAATTGCAACATTTTCATGAAAATTAGGTATTTTAATACCGGATTCGTATCTTTACGATATAAAAATACAAACCGATATTACTCATAATGGATAGAAAAATATGTGAGAAAATCATATATTTTTTGAAATAAAAATTTTGAACTGGATCGGACAGGTAGAGAATCTCTCCATTGTTCACATGTAATATGAACAGTGGAGAAGGGGAGTAGAAGAAGAAGAAGAAGAAGAAGAAGAGAGGTAAAAAGAGGGAGGCTGACTTGCCGATGCTTATGGTGCTGCTGGTGGTGGAAA